ATATGACACAAACATATGTTTTTTTTAAATGGAAACCATAGTTAGCCATGAGTTATAGCCACTTCTTATCTTTCTTGACTAATTTTACTTAGTTGGCATGGTATTCTTATTCTGTTATGATTTATAACTTATAAAAACACAGAATAATTTATTAAACGTTCTTTACAATTTACATTACACAAACTACAACTTAAAAATACTAGTATTACTACATACACTTTAAGTTATTTTGGCAAATGTTCAAAAAATCCGCCATTATTTTGAGTACATAAAATGCATCGTTTTAAAACTGAATTACATGAATGCCGGTCGACTGTAATAAACTTCTCTCGTACCGCTTCCTCGAGTTACCGCTTCCTCTTATTGTTAACCATACCGCATAAAAAGATCTAAAATGGATAAGTCAGGTAATCGAGGAGGCCCATGCAATTGGTCCACCTCTTCCTATCCCTGAGTTTGCATAATTATGATATAAATAACTTTTAACATTTCTTTCATTATGTGGGGGCATGTCATAATGAAAGTAATGTTGGAACCACTCTATTAATGCGCGAGTATCTAAATTTAACTTTTCTAAAAACGTAAGTAATGTTCACCGGTCAACGTGTCTTCGAAAATGTATGGCCAAGAAAAGGTGAACCAATAATCCTAAACGCTTTTCTTCATTTGAAAAATTCATATTTACAATTTTTGTTTATTTTAATTTAGAGTTTGGATGTGACAACTGCACATTTCTGAGAGCAACGACGATTGAAATTTTCGAAAGAAACATATTATAGCTTATATCGCTGAAAAGTTAAAAAATGGAGCTTTTTATGAAGTCATAGCCAACTATGGTTTCCATTTAAAAAACGTATGTTTGTGTCATATGTCAATAATGACAGGCTTTAGAAAAAAAAAACGGAGAACACAATTTCATTAAGGATGTGATTATCCACAACTTTTATCTGAATAAGAAACCTTTTTATTAAAAATGTTTTTTTCGAAATATCTAGTAAGCCATAAACTTCTTCAAAAATCTGAAAGGCGCATATTTATGACCCCACAAAACTGCAATTATTTCTCCATTTAAGCGACTCAAAGAACATCTTAGGAAACTCACCCTGTATATGATTAATAATTACAATTAACTTAAAAAATATCAAAATTGTACTATGTTTTTTAAAAAACTTCATACTATTTAAATAGAAATGCATATATTTGTGAGTAATCAGATTATTGAATATTATTTCGGATATCTATTTTAATTAATACATTATTGTATACCGGTTCAGAACATTCAAAAACATTTGAAGAGAAATTATTGTATAAAAAAGGGGGTGAATGTAATTTACACTAGGCATAGAGCCAAGTGGTGTCAAAGTGGGAGATTTTTGAAATCTTCTAGTTTTTTCTTATTGTCGACCATTTAAATACAAAAGTATTTTATCTATAAAAGTATTTTCATGATAACGATACTAGAGTGCATAAGTAAAAATATACCAAAATTATATTATATTATATTAAATTAAATAAAAAATGAAGAAAAATATGTTGTTAATAAGTGACATTAAAATATTAATAGTGTCACTGAAAGAGTGAAAGAAAAAAGTAGAAACATACAAATATTAACAAACTAAATATTTCTCAATTTCAAATTGCCAATTTTTTGCCGGTAATTTTAAAACAATATTTTTTTTTAAATATTAGCTATTTCAGTAACTACAGTTTTGATCAATATGAAATACTTTATCTGGGTAGAATAAAGTTAGTCTACTGTAAACCAACTTTTTAAAGAACTTTTTCTGTATACATGTTTGGTTTCTTTACACATTTTTCCTGCTATTTTTGAGTAAGATTAAACAAAGTATGGGGATGATCTTTTATCAATTATTGTTACACATTTCAGTAGTTTTATTTGAATGGCTCATTTTTTTACCGACATATGGCGTGTCTCATTTTTACACCTCTTGACCCTACGTTAAATAATTCAGTTTCGAAAGAGTATGTACAGAATTATGACACCTATTTTATATTTTTTTTCTAAAAATATTTTTTTTTCAAAATGAAAATTCATGGTAGTTGCCTACATAAATCTTAAACTTCTACACAGTTGTCGATTAAATTGCATATTGTAACATTGGCTTTAGACAATTCTCTTCGAATTTAGTGGATAACGTCCATTTTCTGTTTCTGTTATTTGCATTGGCAACGAATCGTAGCTAGCACGGGAACAGACGACTACAGCGGCAGTTTCGCTAGTCAGACTGTTCCTCTAATGGGAACGAAACATAAAAAACCCACCATTCTGGAGACCAGTCTCCCATGGAGACGGGACAAGAACGGTACGAGTAAATAGTACCACGAACCTCGACAAAGCTTGCTTACCACTTATTTTTTCTTTTAAAATTTCCTGTGTTTCTTTTTTCGCTTCTTGATATGTAAAGTTGGCCTGCATGTTTGTTCAAGTTAATTAAGCGGTATTTGATTATGCGATTAACAACTAATTAATGTATATTATCACAAATATTTACAAGAACACAGTAAAACACTTTTTATTTCAAAAGATATATATTTTTTTCTATTTTGTAAATTTTTTAATTGTAAACAAATTTGTATGTACTATATAAATAGTTACTTCCTTACTCCATTACTCGCTGACGAGTACTTGACACGCATCATATGGTTACGCAAGGCCTTTTCTTTCATGAGTTTTTCTGCGACTGAAAAGCCCGAAACTCGATGTTATCTCTCTTCCGCACTTCGGACATTCAAAAATCTCATTACTTTGTTGCTTCTTTACTCTTTGGTTGACGTTGTTAACTGAAAAAAAAAATCGATATTAAACACGGAAGTTGTTAACTGAGTTTACAATTCTTTTCCATTGTGTTCTATTGTGCGCTGCTTTCTCTCATTGATTCTGCATGCTTATTCCCTTAAAGTTTTCTTGGAAAATATCCTTGTATCTTTTGAGTTGTCCAACCGGTTTCCTCTTACCGTCTACAAGCTCACCGTAAAGAAGAGATGTGATCTGGAATCTTTCTACATACTGAATAGTTTTAACTGCACAGATCACAGATTTGACGAGAACTGTACTAGACTATAGGCTGACGAAATTATCTTTTATAAAATCTAAACTGTAGTATTAGTACGAGAGCTAGCAACGTCGGAAAACAAGTATTTTGAGATGTCTAGCTCTTTGATATATCTTTTACTATGCTCCCTAGAACGGCATGCGGCCCGTCTGGCTGCTGGTAAACGTTGCATTCCCTACTGCGCATTGAAAGAAGATCCTATATTTTTATTAGTCCTTTAAATTCTAGTATTGAATATAAATCGAACATGTCTCCATAGCGCAGTGCGTAGAGTGTCTGACCACGAACCGATGATTCAGAGTTCGAATCCGGGTGAAGGCAAAGACTTTTATTTTATTTTCGTTTATATTCTAATAGTAAAGTATTAAATATTTGTTTTTTTTTAATTATCCGAATTATTTAATACTTTACTATCAAAATATAAACGAAAATAAAATAAAAAAGTTATTGACCTGTCCTGGATTCGAACTCTGAATCATCGGTTCATGGTCGGAAACTCTACGCACTGCGCTATGGAGACATGTTCGATTTATATTCAATACTAAAATTTATAGGACTAAATTAATAAAAAATATAGGATCTTCTTCCGATGCGCAGTACTGAACACAATGGGTATCGGCAGCCAGACCGGCCGCATGCTGTTCCAGAGAGCATAGTAAAAGATATATCAAAGAGCCAGACGTCTTAAAATACTTTCTCGAAAACGTTGCTAGCTCTTAGACTATATGAAATGATCGATATCGTTTTGCTCCTAAAGGGGCCCTATACGTAACGATTTTATCTGCATGTCAAATCGTACCAGTTCAGATCTTAAGACCAAAAGAAGCAGAGGCAGACCTCCGACAAGATGGTCAGATGACTTGAAGAGAATTAACGGAAATTGGAAAGTGGTACAGGATCCAGAGGTGTGGAAAGATTTGAGAAAGGCTTACGTCCAGCAGTAGACACTTCAGGCTGGTTTATGATGATGATGATGATAATAGTCATCATCAATAGAAATTAATCATATACAATTTTCGTTAATAATAATTTTTAATAAATAAGTGATAACCCAGCATTTTACTGAATATATACATCTGGTTTGTATATATTAGGTGCCTTTATTCTTTACAGTGTTCTAACAAAATATATAGCTAAATTATAAATTTATTATTAATTACATAATCAAATACCTGCTTTTAAGTATATCATTTATATAGTATTTTTTAGATTTTAATTTTAAAAATACATAAAAATTTTGGTAAATCCTCACGTCTCACGTGTGCCCCACTGCTTATACGTGACATGCGCATATTGTTAAAGCCATATAAAGCTATTATTACCTATAACCTCCAACAATCAGCACTATACAGACTTCATAATAGATATTTCATTAATTAAATTGGATTTTCCAATTAAAATTGTTATAATTATAACGAGATATTTTAACCTTTTAGTTCGGGATAATGAAGTAAAATGTAGATCGCTAATTGCATGTAGGTGCATATTCACAGTCGAAATAAAATATTCCCGAATTTCAGGTTAATCTTATAATCTCTTAAACTGAATATCTTAATAAGATTTTATTTAAATTCTAATGAATTTAAATTTAAAACCAGCCTAAATATTCTGCATGTATACTAAAATATAAATTGAGTATAGTACCCTTTTAAACCGTATTTATAAATAAAATTTAAGAATTTTTCAAAATAATTATTATCATCTAATAATCTTTTGTTCAATGCTGTTCTTATCATATTTTGAAAAATTCTTCTATAATAAATGACACAGGTTTTCCTCTATACCACTACAGCTATTCTATTCTTACAGTACCCACTAAATATACTAAATTAGTAGTACCACCCCTTCTCTATATTCTATGTATATAACAATACTTCTAGTACTCCTTCTACAATTTAATTTGTTGCACCTTGTATTTACATTTAGTTACAGATGACAGTATTTTTTCTGATACTGGGAAACGCATGTCCAAGGGCTCTATAGACGGTAAGTACACCTACACTGAGTGATCTTATAAACTTTCTTTTACTTAAATGTGTCTACACGATCGCAGTGACGCTTTTGATGTGTAAACATGAGGCATATTCTTCATATATTTGCGAATGTAGTTGTTAGTTTAAATAACATCATCATTTCTGTATATAAAAATTAAACTTAAAAAATTACCACAAATATTAATTTATTCATCTTAACTTATGTTAATTCATCTTACTTAATCATTGTTCACCTTTATATTAATCTTTATTTATCTATTCTGTAGCATTACGGTAACACACAATTATCATTATAACAAGAAAAGTGTTTTAAAATCATTCTGAATACATTTTTTGAGAGGTACTAAAATCTTGATGGGACCAGGTGTTCAGTTTATTTTGATATTGTATTGTTTAAAAATTGATAATCTTGAAATTTATAGGCTTTAAAATAGGCGTTAAAATACAGTAGCGATTGAAAATAGAGGCCCTAAATTTAATAACTGGATATCATAGCCCCTTTAGTTAAGATAAGCTAATGCTCTAATTAAGAGATAAAACATTATTGTAATTATTTATCACAATAGTATCAAATCATAAATGGGATTTGTTTAAAAATTGCTAATCTTGAAATTTAAAGGCTTTAAAAAAGGCGTTAAAATCCAGTAGCTATTGAAAATAGAGGCCCTAAATTTAAGACCTGTTTATCATAGCCCCTTTAGTTAAGATAAGAAAATGCTTTAGTTAAACGATAAAAAACAAAAATATGAATATTAAATTTACGTCATAAATGGGATTCGTACAAAACTTGATAACTTTGAAAATTTGAGGGCTTTAAAGAAGGCGTTAAAATACAGTAGTTATTGAAAATAAAGGTCCTAAATTTACGAACTGGATGTCATAGCCCCTTTAGTTAAGATAATCAAATGCTCTAATTAAGAGATAAAACATTATGGTAATTATTTATCACAGTAGTATCAAATTTATGTCATAAATGGGATTTGTTTAAAAATTGATAATCTTGAAATTTAAAGGCTTTAAAAAAGGCGCTAAATTCCGTAGCTATTGAAAATCGAGGCCCTAAATTTAAGACCTGGATATCATAGCCCCTTTAGTAAAATAAACAAATGCTCTAATTAGAGAATGTAGAATGTTTAGCAGGGGAGTTAATCACCGCGACCTTATAGATCTATTGTGTGTTCCCCTTTCTTGAGTTATAACGAGTTATAACTCATCATACAGTCTCAGGGCTTTAAGAAAAGCCAGTATCTGAGACGGCTCCACAGAGGCCAGCTCTCCATCCTCGACATCAGACGTACCAAGGTTCATGGCACGAATGGTCGTCGTCTCGGCGCACTCAGTGATAAGGTGTTCTGGTGTTTCCCCATTTTCCCCACAAAATCTGCATTTGCCGTTGTTTCTCAGTTTCAGTTTACTGAGGTGTTCGTTGAGGAGACAGTGTCCTGTTAGAAACCCCGTGACAATCCGAAGATTGTTTTTACTTAAATCAAGGAAAACCTTTGATTTTTCTCGGTCATAAGTTCTAAGGAACTTTTTCGAGTGTCTTAGACCGTTGGAGGACACCCATTCCAAGTTACGGATGGAGTCTTCCAGATTCTTCAGTTCCGCTTTCAGTTGGTTCCCGTTTGGAGAACAGAACGGTTCTGGTCCAGTTAGTGGAGTGTTCGCTCCTTTTCTAGCTAGATCATTTGCTTTTTCATTGCCTTCTATCCCTTGGTGAGCAGGCACCCAAAGTAGGAGGACTTTATTTTCTTTGCCTAATTTGTTGAGCTTCTCTAGGCATTCTTTGACCAACTTCGAATTGATGGTTACTGAGTTGATCGCGTTAAGTGCTGCTTGACTATCGGATAGGATGGCAATTTCCTGTTTTCGATAGTTCCTATCTAAGATAAATTGTACGCATCTTTCGATAGCGCAAATTTCTGCCTGAAGGATACTGGGGTAGGTGCCCATTGGTTCGGAATATTCAGTTTTCGGCCCAAATTCTCCTATCCCTGTCCCTGCTTTGGTTTTGGAAGCATCAGTATACCACTTGATGGTATGGTCTTTTATATGCTGAGTAAGCGTCTCTTTCTTCCAATCCTTTTTATTACTTAAAAAAGTATCACGTTTCTCAAAGTTGTAAATTCTTGGTATGTCATCCACTGGGAGTTGGAGTGTTAAGTTAGTTAAGATAAGCAAATGCTTTAGTTAAGCGATAAACTATTATTTTAAATATTTAATACATGAATATTAAATTTACGTCATAAATGGGATTCGAACAAAACTTGATAACTTTGAAAATTTGAGGGATTTAAAAAGGCAGTAACTTTAAAATGCAGTAGTTATTGAGGCCCTAAATGTAAGAACCGGATATCATAGCCCCTTTAGCTAAGATAAGCAAATTAAGAGATAAAACATTATTGTAATTATTTAACACAATAGTGTCAAATTTATGTCATAAATGGGATTTGTTTAAAAATTGATAATCTTGAAATTTAAAGGCTTTAAAAAAGGCGTTAAAATACAGTAGCTATTTAAAATAGAGGCCCTAAATTTCAGACCTGGATATCATAGCCCCTTTAGTTAACAAAAAGTTAAAACAAATGCTCTAATTAAGAGATAAATTATAATTTCAATTATTTAACACAATAATATCAAATTTTTGTTATAAATAGGATTGGTTCGAAAATAGAAAATAAAATAGTTATTGAAAATACAGGCCCTAAATTTAACTTTCAATGTTATTTAAGATCTTTGATCAATGATATAATGGTTGGCTGAATATGTTCAGTTCTTTTAAATAAGAAATTACAAAAAGAAACAAAAGAAAATATAATAAATAAGAAATGATACGTTTTTTTAATTTACTTTTGTGTAAAATTTTAATAAAAGCAAATAAATGCATCTATAAAATTATCTAAACGTATTATTATACTTAAAAATATTTTGCTTTTACAAATATAACTATATGTAAGTAACTTTCATTGCTTTATAATTTTGAGAAGGTTAAAAACATCAGAAAATAAAAATGAATTGTTTAAGCGTTTTAACGCTAAAAATGCAAAATATTTGATGCAGTTAACTTGGTAAAAGTACTTAATCGATTTTTTTCTGTTAGGCGGAGATCTAATGCGCGTTACAACCCCTACAGCAACCGAGATGATGTTGCCATGGAAACGGGACGAAGATGACGGCTCGGGTCCATTGCAGCAAGCTGAGTTTCCATCGTGGGCATCTAACAAGGAATATCTGGCCTACAACTCACCATCGGCCACCTTTTTAGGTGGGTTAGGTAATTTTTAGTTTTGTTTATATTTTGCACAGCCTAATCATTCAGACAGCCAGTCAACTTCATGTCAACTTCGCTAGTTTCTGAGTACCCGCGCTTCATCTGCCACGCCTGTTCTCGTACATATATAGGCCACAGAATATTAGTCTTCATACTTTTTATGAAGGAGCTTCAATGGAATTCAGGACTAATAACATAAGATGAACGATATCTAGGTAGTCTTCTATGTAAAGGATTATAAGTATCGACTAGCTGTCTAGTGAATATGCTGCATTTTTTTATTCTGTTTTTGTTGGCGTTAATCCAATAGTGCTTTAGTAATAAATACATTCCTAATATAGGTACAAGTAGTATTTCATCATATTCTCAATGACTTAAGAATTCAAGGACATGTAACAACAAGGACATGTTAGATGCCATTTTTTTGGACGCAACGAATGAGTGATCAGATGGTCATCAGCGACAATTTTAGCGATTTTTAAAAGTTGGTTGTGTGTAGTGAACTTTGTATAAACTGTATTATAATGGTAATTTGTTCAGCTTAAGTGTAAAAAGCGCAATGATAAGAAAGAGCCAGGAATTAAGTTTTATAGGGAAATATACAGTCCACTCCACATTTTTAGCGTTTCTTCTATTGAATTCGATAATAATTTTTCTGATATTATATGTACTTTATTATTATATCCTTTTCTATATATCTTTAGCTAGATCATTTGCTTTTTCATTGCCTTCTATCCCTTGGTGAGCAGGCACCCAGAGTAGGAGGACTTTATTTTCTTTGCCTAATTTGTTGAGCTTCTCTAGGCATTCTTTGACCAACTTCGAATTGATGGTTACTGAGTTGATCGCGTTAAGTGCTGCTTGACTATCGGATAGGATGGCAATTTCCTGTTTTCGATAGTTCCTATCTAAGATAAATTGTACGCATCTTTCGATAGCGCAAATTTCTGCCTGAAGGATACTGGGGTAGTTGCCCATTGGTTCGGAGTATTCAGTTTTCGGCCCAAATTCTCCTATCCCTGTCCCTGCTTTGGTTTTGGAAGCATCAGTATACCACGTGATGGTATGGTCTTTTATATGCTGAGTAAGCGTCTCTTTCTTCCAATCCTTTTTATTACTCAAAAAAGTATCACGTTTCTCAAAGTTGTAAATTCTTGGTATGTCATCCACTGGGAGTTGGAGTGTTAAGTTAGTTAAGATAAGCAAATGCTTTAGTTAAGCGATAAACTATTATTTTAATTATTTAATACATGAATATTAAATTTACGTCATAAATGGGATTCGAACAAAACTTGATAACTTTGAAAATTTGAGGGATTTAAAAAGGCAGTAACTTTAAAATGCAGTAGTTATTGAAAATAGAGGCCCTAAATGTAAGAACCGGATATCATAGCCCCTTTAGCTAAGATAAGCAAATTAAGAGATAAAACATTATTGTAACACAATAGTGTCAAATTTATGTCATAAATGGGATTTGTTTAAAAATTGATAATCTTGAAATTTAAAGGCTTTAAAAAAGGCGTTGAAATACAGTAGCTATTTAAAATAGAGGCCCTAAATTTAAGACCTGGATATCATAGCCCCTTTAGTTAAGATAAACAAATGCTCTAATTAAGAGATAAATTATAATTTCAATTATTTAACACAATAATATCAAATTTTTGTTATAAATAGGATACTACTTTTGTAGCTTTTGTAATACGGTGTAATACCTTTTATTAATACGTCTTTTCGTAATTAATTAGTATGATACCACCGGATACACCATAGGCATAGTGAAAACATTTATCAAAAATATAAATATCGCTTCAAGCGGCTATGTTAAGAAAAAACTGTGTCACGGCACTGTTTGGAAGAATGGTCATAGTTTGGTCTCGGGTGCTATTTGTCCTTGTATTATTTAGTCATTGCATTAGACTTTACAGTAAAATCGAGAATATTACTTGGACAGCATTTCTGATGTATTTAAAGCTGTACAGGGTATTCCAAAATAGAAGTTATATAGGTATCCAAAATTGCATTTCTAATGAGATTTCCTGTATACTAACTTATTTCTGGATTTTAGATAAATTTAAGACTCGTCTTATATTTGCTTTTTATATTTTTTTTTCGAAAAATTAAAAAGAAATGTTAAATTTGAATAAAAGTAAAGTGAATTGCAATTTACCCTGTATAACATTCTACAGGGTTAAAATATTTTATTCTGTAAATTTTGGTTAAAGTAACCATTGAACCATACTAAATTTAGATTTGACATACAGGATGAGACAAAATTAATATCGAATATTGGTCACTTTTTGGGACAAGTTACCTACTTTATAAATTAAAAATAAAGCAAAAATGAACAAGCAAGCACTTTTAAGTCATATTTTTATATTATTTTTGCTGTCTTGTCTTAATATTTAATCTATAATTCTGTCTTAATATTCAATCCAAACAATCCAATAGTAGTCTTGGCCTTGGTCTTGCAGCAAGACTCTTGCAAGGCACTTTTTGCACTTTTTAAGATTTTTACTAGAGGCAATTTATACATAGAAAATCTTTAAAGATATTTTTTTTAGTAATTTAAAGTAAACGAAAAGTTAAAGAAAACAGTACTCAACTTTCAAATATTAAAAAAATAGTTAAAAAATCATTTGTTAATATGTCTCCAAGGGATATTGAGTAATCCTGTGTATTTATAGTTAATTGCAGTATTAACAAAAATCTATTCAAATGTGCATTTTATTATTTATTTATATAATATTTGCTCATAATTGGGTTAAAATGTAAGTTTTTTATATTTATCTACATCTCTAAAAAATCTTTAAATTAAGGAGTTATTTTATACAAACTCTACCAAGCTTCGAGCTCCATCTACGGTAACATAGATGGAGCAGGAGCATAAGGGGTTTTCTTCGTCAGAAAGCCTATTATCGTTGATTGAAAAAATTGGGAAGATACGCAACCTAATGGGCAAATTCGTGACAAGGCTGATTTGATTTACTTTATTACTCTTACTCGTTCTACGACCAACGCATACTCATTTTCTCTAATTCGTCTAGCGAAGGCATATCGAAGACGGTGTGGAACTGAAAGCGACAGTGTTGCCATATTAAAATGTGTAATATCTGTAATAGGTTTGACGAAAATATCTTTGGATAAATAATCCGCGTTTATGTATTGAAAATTTATTCGTGTTAAACATAAAATAAACAACAAAAATACAAATTCTTTTATAGGTACTGAATATTTCGTATTATGAAAAAAGTATTTTAGTGGGCTTGGAAATGACGACTGTTGATATTTACTATAATATTTTACATATAACGGTGATTTTCATTTCCAAGACAACTCTAACGCCGTTCTTTGTTTAATCATATATTATATTAAATTGTTTAATGATAGAAAATCCGTATTATTAACGTACTGTACCCAAAATCCGTAAATCTAAGGATTAATCCGTAGTTCTGGCAACACTGTCGCCGGCAACCACCCACTCTGTCGACTGAAAGCAGAACTAGGGAAGGTTATTAAAAGATAAGGTTGTCTCGTAACTCGATCGGCCATTATCGAAAACGTCATCTACTACGTCACAGAGATGCTACCGCTCATAGATAAAGGGATAAAAACTACCGAAAGTCCGACGGTGCATTTCCGAATCGATATTCATTGTGTATATGGTGTATGGCGTCCATATTTTTTAGTTGTTTGATGTTTTTTTTTATTACATTGCCCATTTATCTCTCTTTGTCCGTTGCATTTTATTTTTTATTCCTTTTATCTATGATTTTATACGTTCTGTCTACGTCAGAGGGATGTTATTCCGCTTCGCTCCTATTGGTCCAAGAGTTACGAGGCAACCTGTTATATAGTAACCTTGGAAGTAGGGTACTTTCTTTATCCGTTACGCTGTAAACGACTGTAAAAATCAGCGCGCAGCGACATAGAGGTAAACTAAATCTTGGGCAGATTGACTAGCGGCGACGGTATCGCCAGCTACATCTCGGACAGGTTTTGTATCACGAAATCGCCCATAAGGTTGCGCATCTTCTTATTTCTTCAATTAACACTATTATGTTAGAATAATAATGCTTTTCGACTATTGAAGCATTTTCATTATAACTTCCTTTAAAATTTCATGTAAAAGTCAAGAAAAATATTAGCTAATTTAAACATACTATCCGCAATAAATTAAATTGTATTTCTAAAGCTAGTATTAATATTATACAAAAACGCTCATCACTACTCGTTCATGTTTTTTGCCACATCCACACGTCGTTACGTGTGAATATGGCAACGCAATGTGGATGGGGGGAGGGGGAGCTACGAACGCTATTCGTTAATAGCAATCGTTAGTTAGGCCTGGACGCGACTTAACAACACAACAACACAACTAATTTCTTTTGTAGGTGGCTTAGAAAACCCCAAAACGTCCGTCATAGGCCTGTTCCGGCGCGAGAGCCTCGGCTCCGACCCCACCAACAGCAACGACTCGACGCCCTTGAAGGAGCGGCGCAGCTCCCTAAGCCGCATCTCCGTGCTCATGATCGAGGAGGGCGACTCCGATCCCTTGGGCGCCATGCTCAAAGATCCCAAAGGGTCCCAGCAGCAGCCGCCCCTCGCGGCTCTACCGCCGCCACCGCAAACGCCGGGCCAGCGCAGGCAGGCGCGACGTAGCTCCATGCTCGAGCTTAGCGGGTGTGTTTCAGACTACTACTACACTAATCATATTTAGGGAAATGTAAGAACAAAAAACGGAACTGGCTCGATGGTTGTTGGAATGGGTGTTTTATATTTTGCAAGCGACCTGCAGTCTCGTGAGGATTGAGTAAAGAAAATGTGTACCTGCACGATATCTTATGTATAGACACGAGAACCTGCGTATTCTCAGGAAAAAATATTGAATCAAAGTCACTAGAAGTATTCTCATTTATATTATTTTTTATTATAATAGTCAATAACCAATTAAAAATATATACACTAACATAAACACTATTTAAGCTCATACTCGCTTCAAATCTGGAATACTGATTGAGCAGAAGTGTGCCTGAAAAATTCTGCTGAAAATATGCTGACGAATATTGTCCTCTTCTCAGTTGGATAGGTATGTCATAATGTCACATATAAAGTCGGCATCATAAGAGATTTTAATTGATTTTAGGAAAATTTCACTTAGCTGCCTGATTCAATATTTTGTTCTGATGTACATTTAAAAATGTCGATAAGCGGTTTAATAGATAGTATCATCTTTACAATGTGAACATTGTTTACTTACAAACTTCTGCATGACTTACTTAGTCGCAATACTTTGCAGATTATTATTGCATCGCAGATTACAGTTGCAATGATTTAAAAATCGCAATCGCAATTTCAATTGCAATTGGAGAATCGCAGTTTTGCTCGTTACGCTACTGGATTCTACGTGAAAAACTCTATGGGACACAGTTTTCACATTTATAAGATAAACGAGATACAAAAAGGGTCGAAAATGCAAAAATTTGAATTTCGTGAAAACCGCATCTTTGTATCTCTAGTCATAAACTAGAAACCCTATAAAACACATGAAAATGAGACATCCTCTATAATTATAACAATAGATATCATAAAATGAGAACTAAAATGCTATTTTGACGCCTAGTAATATTGCCTCGTTTGCTGGATTTTGTGTTAAATATTAAAATAGAAAAATATTTGTTGCTCCTTTTATATAATATTGACCTTTTTTTTTATAAAATGTAGTAGATGTTACCTGTAAACCGTTTACTCAAAAATTTGTCAATCTGAAGAAAATACTTCAGAACTTTGGAAAACAAGATAGCTGTTTCTTCTCTGAATTTGTAAAGAAATTTTGTAGAAATAAACAATGTTTACATGAAGTAAAACGTAAATTCGACTATCTATATAATCCATATCGTTGTGTCGTCAAGAGTACTTCTTCTTTTGCTAACCGAACTAAATCTGAGCACTAAATGTTGAATGTAATGGATATACTAACGCCTCTTATAAAACATTGGTTGCACAAATCTATCTTAGTGCTATTCGTATAACCGTAAGCATGATATTCTCTGTCAGTCTCCCATCTTCCAATCTACTTAGTGGCAGAACGAAGGACCACACACTGTACAGTCCTAGCTTTTTGTATTTTAGTTTATACGTATTAATAATTAGTTTTATTTCAGGAGTATGTAAAAACTACAATTTTTAAATAATTTCAGAACATATTTAATATAATAACTATTTTACTATAAGAAATTCATGATTTCTCCTATATTTCGTTCGATATACTTTAATGATTCGTGATATTAAACTTTTAATTTCACTAACACTAATATTATGTTTTACTAACACTAAATTTTTAAGCTTTCTGTTGTAGTTTTTTCAATAAATAAATGTTTGGTAAATCTATCATGGATATAATAAAACAATAATTTTTGGTTTTCTTTTATTTTAATTATTCATATCACTTTGTCAATTAAAAACTTAAAAATAAATATTCAATTTTTTATAAAAATAATAAATATCTCAAAAACATAATAATAGAATAATATTAATAGTAGGGAACACATTATACCTGGTGGTACATCGTCGTTCTAAACATAGGAAATCCCATGCAAATTTTGAACTGTTCATATATTGGTTCCCCTATTCATTTTACAGCTAAATCGTAATTAGAAATCACATGCCGAATATACATGCCAAATTTGAACATTTTTAGACAAGCCGATTTTAAGCAATTTAAAAGAAACTGCGTTTATTTTAGTTTAAATGAACAGCTAACAATGCAAAATCATTATGTGTCTTTAAATTAGGAGTGCAAAAGTATAGTGGTTTGGTGTATTGTCGTGAATTAGTGTTTTATTTTACTGTTTAATACCAAAAGTTCCAAACCTCAACTGTAATATAAATTAGGTAGAAAAGGTACAACACTTAAAATCGAGTTAAAACAATTTATTATACTCAAAACACACGTTTTATGTATTCGTTGTTACAGGTAAAGACGTAATAATGTATGCTAGTACCGAAAGGTGTAATTATTGTATAAGATTTAGTTCTCGTTATTTCTAATTAAACTTAAAACGGTAACAGGGGTGTTTTTTATACTGAAACAGATAAATTAATCATAATGGCGTAACTAATATCTCTACACTTTACAATACAGGGTGTTTTGTTCACACCTTTACTGAATTTTTCACCCTTTTTCAGCATTTTTTTACTTGTTAGTGACAATTTCTTGTATGAATAATTAGAAATATATGTCATGTAGGAAGTGGCAATATTGCATTCCTTTTAGTGCCGTAATAAAAAATTTTACCATGGGAGACAGTTCTAAAAGTGCACAGGCAGTTCTAAAAAGTTTTCTAAAAATATACAGGGAAATTTAAAAGAAAATGCACGGTTTTCAACATCTTTTTTTACGAAAAAAATTTCATAGACGTGTTCCTGGGGTCGAAATGTACCACCCCTGAAAATATTTGCACTTATTTAAGACTTACCCTGTATAACTAAATAATTAAAGTAATGTAAATAATATGGCATGGCAACGAATGACATAAGCTTTATATGGCTTAGGGGTTGAACTCACTGACGACCAGGTCGCAACGACCTGGCCGTCGCGTCGGCTGGCCGGATGTATTGCGTTTATAGCTGCGGTCAGATGAACGACCAGTTTCAACAGAGTTGTCAGATCTAACGATTTTTTACGTTTTACCAATTAGAAAATATTGTTTCAGAAAGAATTAAGTTTCAGAAATGTTAAAATATCCGAGTTAAATAAAAAGCGAAGTTACTATTCATGAGCTTATTAAATGTTCTAATATTAAACAATGCATTTAAAATATTCTTGGATTTTTAGTAAATAAATACTGGTGTGGTTAAATGGAGTAGGTAAGTAAAATATCCAACCCCGACAACACGATAACGTCGTTATTTCCATGTTTTTCAAATCCGCGATGCCTGCTATTCTATCAGTCGTTTCATAACAGAATGTTCTACATCCTACGTCTATGTAATTTAATATGTGTAGAGTGAGACATGTAACTCGTAAGATTTTCGGCATTATATCAATAAAGGGCAAAAACGGTATTGTTTCTAAAGGTGCGTCCAGACTTGAACATTTTAGCCCGAACGAACCGAGCGCGCACGAGTAAATAGGCCGAACAAAAAGCATTGTGTACGCGCGACCGACAAAAATGGAGATATTCTGTTTCTCTTTTCTACTGATATGGGCTTCTACTGATGGCTCTTATCGACTTTAGAAATAAACATATTAGGGCCATCGTAAAAAAAGTCGTCAGACACTGGCTCTAAATATAAGCAGGTAGAAAGTTTAGCTTCCAGTTATTTCAATGTTTACAATATAAATTCCTCTTTTTTATTGTTACTGAGAATCTACAACAGTAAATACTTCTATTTTTATGAATGTTTAAGTGACTTTTACCACAGATTATGCAGATTATAAACTTTGTTTTTTCTTTATTGTTTTTCGTGGTTCCAATTTTCGGAATCGGGCACTAGTTAGGTTACTAGTTTGCGCACATAGCACGCCCACTTATGGCCTCTGAAATCGTACACAGTGCCTGACCGGCACAGTTATTAGAGAGATATCGGAAAACCGAATAGCGTCATGCAGTATTTACGCGTACCTTATCATGGTTACGATATGCGCGAGTCAATTTTTAACGCAACAACCACTAATAACGTTACCGCCTGACGTAATATGTGGATCAATTACACCAAGCGCTATTTCTAAATAACGTTTAAAAATTGCTTAAATGGGCATGTGCGGGTATTTCACAACCGGGGCCGGCCGGCGAGATCTTTTATTTTAGGTTATGTTTGAATTGTTTTGAATTATTACTTTAGTTTTATTAGGTAATTTGATATTTAAGAAGCTGGGATTAGTTTTAATTAAATAAATATGGCCCAAAATATGGATTCCATCTCTTCCAATATTAAAGAACCTATAAAGAGGCTTAGGTTTACAGCAGATGACGACTTAGCTCTTCTAAGAGAATTTGTTGCTTGTTGCCCTAAACCCACAGGCAGACGTTGAACAATAAAGCACTGGAAATAAGCACTTTAGCCCTTTAGTTTTAAAATACCTAGTAAACAAAACAATTTCAAAGTTTTAAATTCAAAGTTAGGTTAAGTTTAAATAGCGGACGCGACGCGAACAGAATTCTTTCCGATCCGGTAACTATAAATGAAGAGAGTTAATACCACCTCACGTAAAGGAAATAATACCTGACCTTATCAACGTCCATGCACGCTATTCGGTTTAGCGATATCTCCCTATTACGCTGTTTACTGTTATTTTACGCGAGTTTATTTTGCGCACAGGAAATTTTGCTCGTTTGCACAACGTCATAAGAAACAATTTTCGTACCACGAATTAGGGATAAGATTTTTATCTGTATATATATAATATACCTAATCTGTGCTTTTACTCTTATTTTTTTTAAATAATATACCTTGTAGAAATATAGTCTAATGGACCCTATTTGAAAAACATTAAATTAAATATAATATTTAAGATACAGTTGTCCTCCTTGTACATGACTACAATACAACTAAAAAAACTAATTTAATAAAAAAAAACAAGTGGTTGTAGAAAAACTTTAAATATGATTTTTTTATTTTTTAACATCGAAACTCGAAGGTATAATAACAGATATCATACCAACCATAAATAAAGTATGTCATATAAAAATGTTTTGAATTTTTACTAGAATCGACCCTTGATAAAAAAGGGACTAGATTTAAGTTTCCCTTTGATCCAGTCTGTATACTATTTCTTTGGATTTCCTGCACGTGTACAAAAACTACACTAAAACACTATATCTTATAGAAAATAAAATATTGTGCGTTGAATTTGAGGGATTTCATCTGAAAAATTATTAATTTGGAAGAAAACCGGCAACAAGCGGCAGAAAATAATAATATTTTAGTGCCGTCTACTGGCCGCAACGACCAATGGACGGCCAGGGCGTTAGTGTGCGCTGTATCATCTGATTTAATGGTTTTAGAGGTAGCAGCGGCCTGGCCGGTGCGACCTAGTCGTCAGTGTGTTCGAGGTGAACCAATAATTTTCTAACCGGGTGTTTTTAAAATTGGCTCACCCCTATAACATTTTTACTTTTTCCGATAAAAAAACGAGATTTGGTTTGATATTAGTGTATGACACAAACCAGAATTAGGTAATTGGCATATTCAATTATTAGTTTCGGTCACTTTCTGTTTCATCGGAAAAGGCTACAACTATCGATTTGTAAATTGTACACTCGGTATTTTTTTACTTTATTCGATAGAAATTGACTTTCTCAATAGAATGGTATACCATAATGTTATATGCCAACTTTTGGCATTTTCGCTTAAAAACTTAGTATTTTAAATTTATTTCAATCTAGAATGACAATTTGACTCGAAATACCAACTATTACCAAATTTTTCGTAAATAAATGCCTAATCATTTTTTAGTAGGTCATGAAAAGACACGAACAACATTAAATGATCAAATCTCTTTTTCCAGACTCCATTAAAAATTAGTAGTTTTAACTCTTGAAATTTAAAATACTATAAATTTATTTTTAGTTGAAAATGTCAAAAGTTTCCTATTCAGAATGTTGTTTTCTATCAAATAAAGTAAAAATATACCTAGGGTACCATTTACAAATCAAAAGTTTCAGTAGAACTTCCGGTGAAACAGAAAGTGACTAACTTAATACGTCAATCAATCCCAGTTTATGTCATATACTAACATTTCAAATATCGTGTTTTTATCCGTAAAAATAAAAAAGTTATTGAGATGAGCCACTTTTAAAAGACACCCGGTAGATATGTTTATGAAATTTGCGAGGAAATTTAATAATCGTCTTATATGCATAAAAATTATTTTTTTGTTATACAAAAAATTGTTGTATCTCTAAGTTTCCACCCAACCTGAAACTATGAAAACTGATTTTATTCTAGCTCTAAATGTAATTATATACAGGGTCGCTGTTATGTATGGAAACGGTCGATTATTAGGTAAAATATAGGAAGTACCGCAAAAAGTTAAATATAAAATTATAGGGTTTATAAATATCAATAGATATTTATAAACTCTATAAAAACGCTAATAAGTGGGTAATAAATTTAAATATACAGGGTTGGTCATAAAGTCGTGGCCAATCAAACTTTCATTTTTTTAAATGGAACTCCTGTATATTAGTGCATATTTCGGTTCTTCCTTCAATTCTAAGCAAAAATCGAAATGCACACAATGTACCTCAAACCAACCATTTCCGAGTTATTGACTTTTAAAAATATCACTTAAACAATTTGATTTAATTAATTTTGATATGTTCATTACAGTTGAGGGTTGGAACCTTTGGTGTTACACATTAAAATAAATCACTAAATCAC